CGCTAACGAGCCGCGACGACGGTCCGCCGAAATGTATAAACAAAATGCGCGCTCATACTCGCGCTCGCACGCGCGCACGCATACACGTCTGGACACACACGGAGAGGGGAGGCACACATCCATTCGCACATGGACGATCACGTCGCCGGTACGAATTATCCCGAAATGCAAAGAGCGTATAAAATTCGTTGAGCCGTCTAAATCACATTATATATGCGCCGTCCTCCGCATTGCCATGCAATCGCGCGCGTTCGTACGCGGCTGATCCGTCTTCCGCTTGCTTCCCCTCCCCCCTTCCCCCCCTCTCTCTCTCTCTCTCTCTCTCTACTTTACCAACACAAATTTCACCACCTTCGAGGATTTATATCTCCCGACGGTTGGGACGGGAACGTATGGAATAATGGAACGAGAAGCATCGCCGTTGAAACGACGATCGCGCGTTCGAACGCGAGGTGGTTTTCCGAGGGGGGGTGGCTGGCGGCTGAGGTTAGGGGAGAGCAGGTAGAGATACAGAGCGGTATATCGGCAGGGCGGTAATTAAATTAATGATGTAATAATCACGCGTCCGGATGGAATAAATAACGGTCTGCATTAATATCGCATCTAAACGGTGCGGCGACGCCAGTAGGAACGAGCGTGCGCATCGAATTGCATTTTCGCCGAGGGCTCGCGCTCGCCGTACTCCGGTAAACGACAAATAACAATTGCCACCATGGTACGCGCGACGATTCGTGATAACTGTATTTGGCCGTGGTAAACATGTAAACGTCACCGGGAGGTTTACAGCGCGTTTTTCGCATCGCTCTCTCGGTGTCGGGGCGGAGAGGGAGGGAGGTGTGGTTCGCGGCGGAGCACGCGCGCGCGACGTTGGAGCGACGAGGAGGCTCTCGCCTCGAATTGCGTGCAATACGGCGGCGGCGGTTCGGTTCGGTTTCGTTCGGTAGTGTTTCAATTTCGCTCGGGCAATTCGCGAGTGTATTTTCGGATCATATTTGTTTTACATTGGCATTGAGAATGCGCCCGCTCTCGTGTGTGCTCGGAACATTTAGATCGAACTTATTTTTAATTATCTTTCAATTACCGCGTTTTGACGGCTCGTTAAATTCGCGCGAGCGTGAACCACGGGGAACATGTGTATCCGTTGTTAATGTTGCGCGGGAACGCACTGCCGTGAAAATGTCTCTCCTTTTCCTTTCTCTCTCTCTCTCTCTCTCTCTCTCTCTCTCTCTCTCTCTCTTGGCCCGCGTTAATTTATCAGTGCATTCACAGTGATCATTTTGTTTGTGTTAATGTTACGTTAAATAAATTTATTCATACGGGTTTCTTCATCTGGCCCGTCACCCTTCCTCCTCCTCCTCTTTGTCCCCTTCCCCTGACCCTGGGCCGCTATTACACATTTTTCATCAGGGGGGCGCGTGTAACATCACTCCCGCCGGTTTCGCAACAAACTGTTGAATAAACGGCGCGTGAAAAACGTTTGTTATCCTGATGGATTTTCGGACATAAAGAGCAGCGGACCGGCCGTATTCATTCCGTACATTCCGCGCCCTTCCCGTCCTCACCCCTTCCCCCTCGCGGACCAGGTATTCTATCTTGATTTGCTAATCCATCTTCCGCATTGAGAAGATCTCGGCACGATAAGGGGCGCTTATTTTGCTAGATTGTTGCAGAGTATACCTTCATCATTCCCCGCCGTCGACTGCCCTGATGGAATAATAAACTTTCATCTCGATTCGAAGCGCGCTCGCGTGATTTTTCCCCGGCGCCAACCGCTGTGCGCAATTTGTATTTCCGAACAATTAATATTAACAATGTGCGCGCGTCCATGAAGAGTGCGCGAGTATAAGCGAGTGACAAAAATGACGGGCGCGGGCGGCGTGGACGGAAACAGCCTGTCGCGATCGCGACGGCGAATCGGTGAGAGCGAGCGTAGGGACGCGCAGGGACGCGTTTATATCACGATTTTATTCAGCGCGCGAGGCTTTATCGCCGCGGTTCCGTTCGGCCTTGATGATAATGACAAAAGCCATTTTCCCTCGTTTCCAGTCGACTCGACGACCCTTTTGCCGCCCTCCGATTCGCGCGCTCCTCTCGAGCGCTACGCGTCGCTATTATAATCATTCCACGAGCCTCTTTCTTCCGACTGGGGCGCATTGACGGAATAATTAATAAGCATCGCGCTAATTACCCGCCGACGGTGTTATTAATATTTTCTCCGCACCTCCACGCGGTAATATACCCCGGCCACACCGACGCGACAATTAATCATTCCACACAGATGCGTTTCCCGCGCGTTTCTTTCTTCATTCATGCGTCTTCCCCCCGCTCCCCCGCCCTCATTCTTTTCGTGGCGCCATACACGATTACTGAAAAAAAAAAAAAAAAATGCTATATATATATATATATATTATATAATATAACAGTATACTCTGACACAACGCGCCTCCAGAGTATTGTGTATCTGTATAATTAGGAACACCGATTATAACAAGAAGAATACACTTTCCACGTTCGTTACGCCCGTCTCAACGTGTTCGGCAACGGCGGCACGTCTGTTTCTACACGCGGCGCGGACGCATCCTGGCATCCTTACCGCGATGGGTAGAAAAATTCGGTCGGGCAAGGGCGATCGATATCTCGAGCGAGGCGCGGTCATTCGCGCTGCGACCGGATAACCGGTCGAGTCACTGAAAAATTCCATCTTCCCGCCCGGATATCCCCGGGAGTCCTGTCGGGAATAATCACCGAAAGGGAAGCAAAGAAAATTAGTTTCGATCGCTCGATCCGACTTTGGTATCGTCGACTGCTACCACTACCATTAGCCTACTACTACAACTACTATTATTACTGCTACTACCACCGGTGGGTGCTACTACCGCTACTACGACCGATGAATTTCCAGGCCGGGATTTACGCGACGGTTTTATCAACCGCATACTAAAATATTCAATTACTCGCTCCTTCCCCTATCTTCTCCGCCTCTTTTTTTATTTTTTCATTTGCGCCCGAGTTTCGCGACGGCTCGCTAACCGAATGTAAATGTCGAATGTCCTGACGAATATTGCGCCGGGCGAGATTTATTATTAATCCTTTGTTTCGTCAGCTTTTAGAGCGCTCGGGCAAACCTCGTCGCGAATTTCCAAGTTTGTCCACGCTCTATCGTTCTCATAATAGGCAACAATGGGAGGTATTAATTATGCAGAAAATTAGTTTTAGACATTGTCGGACGGCGATGAAGTTCACTCGTCTGTGCTGTCGAAGCAACGTCGAGTGAGCTCAACATATTAGAAGATTTCGTTGGAAACACACACGTTAACCTGCTCTAGTCTGAGAAAGTCCACCGAATGTGTCGACATTACAGCACTCGAGTTTCCGGAATAAATATATATGAGTGACTTATATCGCTAGCGTTTAGTTGAGAGAGAAAGAGAGAAAGGGACTAAGGCCACACTGGATAAATGTTTACTAGTGCGATCGCGTTATTTTATTATATATCGCGTGCCGATTAAACCGTTGCGTAATAGCTCAGTGAAAGCATGCGTTTATATTTGCTTATATCGCCGTCGATTCTCCATTTTACTGGATACAATGCGCCGATAATGTGCAAATAGTATAAATAACCATTGCACATTTCGCCGGGATATTAATATCCTATTATTTTGGATTATGCAGCGACACTTCGTTTCGCTTCCCGTTTTCAGAACCGATTCGCCTATTGTCCATAAAAGTAGGTTACGCGCCGCTCGTCGTTTTGAAACATCGCGCGTGCGCATGTGTGCGAGCGTTTGCGTGTGCACGCGCGTAGTCATCTCCTATCTTTCCGAGGCAGTGAGGAAGAGAGAAGGAGAGAGAGAGAGAGAGAGAAGGAGAGAGAGAGAGAGAGAGAGAGAGAGAGAGAGAGAAGGTTACGCGCATTATATTTTATTATATCCATCGCGCTTCGCCGACTTTCACACGCGGTCGTAATGAACGACATTTACGAGCGCTGCGTCGCTCAGCTTCCGCTGCGTCGCGAACCGAATCGCTTCGTTCGTTCGGCATCGCTCCCGGCGCTGCCGTAAAAAAAAGGAAGAAAATAGCGCTTTCGGCTAACGAGCGATCGGCCGGCGATCGACAATTTGTTGTTTACACGCGCTTGCTCGCGCGATTGATACCCGCTCGTTACTCTAATAAGGCTAATGCGATTGTTGCGTCGCACGCGCGCTTATAATCGATACTCAAGCCGGCTACTCGCGAGCTACGCGCCGAAGAGCGCGCTGTGCGATACTTTCCAATTATATCGATCCTTTTCACTCGTCCGTTAGAAAACCGCCGATCGCAACTCTCCGCGCAAACTCTTCCTCCTCTCCCTTTCCCTCCTCCCCTGGCCTCCCACTTGCCAAACTCGCGGCGCTCTCGGCCAGGAAACGGCCGTCGGACTTTTATTCTTAATTAAACGCTCGCTGGCTAATGGTTTCCGTCATCGTCCGACGAAGCGGTTTCTAAACGGCGTGTCCCGTCATCGGCGGATACGATCGATCCATCGCCGAGATTTAAGCGAGAACGCGCGATCCTCGCGCGCACAGCGTGTTCGTGCGAGAGGAGAGAGAAATATGTATCATCGCGACGATAGTGAAAACCCCGCGACATATTAAAGATTGCTAATTGCCATTACGGCGTATTAATCACGATCTTTCCAACGGCGCACACTAACGACCCGCGTAAAACTCGCGTACGCTTTAGAAAGTCCATCCGCAGCGTCCAGACGGGCGGAGGGGCAGAGGGGAGGCTATTAACAAATTTCGCCGCAACTTCGCTCTTATGCTGATTTAATTACAGCGATACCGCAATCTCCCCCCCTCTCTCTCTCTCTCTCTCTCTCTCTCGAGAGAGAGAGAGAGAGAGAGAGAGAGAGGAGTTCGATCAAAATTGCCGTTTGCGCGCCTCGCCTGGCTAGCGTCTCGCGATCGAGAGAGCAGCGTCGTCCGGGTGAAACCCGCGGAGATCTCGATTTTACTCACCGCCCACGACGATGAAGTCGTAGTAGTACTCGGGTGGATTCGCCGTCTTGACGCGTTCGCACAGCTGAGAAACTCTGTTTTGGCTGCGCACGAGCGTGTCCAGGATTGTCATGAACGTCAAGAACTGCGAGCCTGGACAGACCTGAGCGAGGCTCGGGCCGAGGTAGGGCTCTGGGCATGTAGGGCCGGCCGACAGACTATACGACATTCTGCGAACAGTGAATATCACAGGGTGACAGCGTCGCCGCAGCATTCGCTAATAAATTAGTAGGCGCGCGATTTAGCGGCGCTCGAATGGCAACATCAACGTCCCAGCGCAACTCCGACTCCAATCTGCTTCTCAAACTCGATAAACCTAATCCACCACGCGTGTCGTCGATCAACTCCGCGGAAAGATACGCGCGCCGCCGTTACGATTCTTCTGATCTATCAGGCGTCGCCTGATTGTTCTTTTGTGAATATCACGCTGAACAGCGCCGCGATTGCCGCTCCGCAAACGCCGATCCGACGCTCCGTTAACCGTGGACACCCGTCGGCGGTGAGTGGCGAAAAAGCAGATAAAAAATGAAAACTAAAAAAAATGAAGAGGATGCGAAGAATGAAATGAAACAATATCGAGAACGCGATCGCAAACTGATTGCGATATTCGGCGCGCTTAACAGGTCATCGGCGCCGAGCGAGTCCGCGAATTGCACCGCGAATGGCAACACGTGAACGTGCCCCGCCGCGCGCTCGCGATTCCAACCATTGAGCGAAATTATATTTAATGACGTTTCGTGTACACACACAAGCGTGGCACACCGCTGCCCGGGGGTTTCGCGTCGCGCAATCCTCAATTCCGCAGGCTCTTTCCGTCCTTTTATTTCCGTCGTCCTTTCCTCGTCCACCAACGCTAACGTATACATCCGGTGACGGTGCTAATCGAAGTCAGGGTCGTATCGGAGTCGATGTGCTCGTGAAACACGAGAGGAAAAAAGCAGAGAGAGAGAGAGAGAGAGAGAGAGAGAGAGAGAGAGCGTCGTGGACTTTCCCGCGCGCGACACCGCGACCCTTTTCTCGATCGCGCCTTGCGCAAGCCTCGCGCCACGTCACCGCCGGCGAATCGCGCATATTCGCACGTGCCGATTGCTCGCTAAGCTTTCGAGAAAGAGAGAAAGTCCGAAACGTGCCGCCACTCTTAAACGCCACGTTAACCGGCGCAGATGAATTGACTCGTCCACTTTTCGCGACACAACGAGAGTTCGGCAAAGTGGCGCAATGGCAAGCACACACACGCGCCGCGCCAAGAGGAATGTGACGGTGATACATTCGCGTTTTTGCTTCCGCGATGTTCGTGAAAGCGCCCCGTGATCCCCGACGTGTTTCGTCGCTGCCGCTTCGATGTGAAATTTAGCCGCTCCATTTCCGGCTCCGGAGAGTTCAGTCTCCCTGATTGAGGAAAGTCCCCCCCCCTCCCCGCCCCCGCTAACGGATCAAGCCGCCCCGCGCGCCGTCCGATACTTCGGATCCAGATTTGCGACATCGATCATTCGCCCGGTCCTGCGCGTCTTGAACCAACGGTTTATATCTCGGTGTAATTAGCATAGAGCTTTCCTCCGCGGCGCACGGCACGACACGTACGCTTAGTGCGCACGCGCATGCGCGCACACGTACCCGTGGGTACACGCTAACATAAATAAATATTCGCTTTAATTAGCCGGATGAGTTAATAGCATTGTAATTAACTGAGCGTGTTAATTAATTCATCCCCTAATTAACACGACTACCTTTCTGTGCCATTACGCGTGCGCATTAGCGCCTCGGAGGAACAAAATGCGAGCCCACAAAGACTCGTCGCCGCTGCGGCGAGCGAGGTGCAATGATTATCACAATGAATTTGCATAATTCGTCCTTCGTGTGCCGTCGACGAAAATCGCGGTGTATCACTCCTTTCGCGGTGCTACCCCCTCCACCGTGTTCTGGTTTTCGCGAAACATCGGCGACGATGATGGGGGCGTTGGACGCGAAACCGCTCCGGCGTTAATTAAATGCGTGCTAATTTCGAAACGTCAAACCCCCTTGAGTTACATGAATCGCTAACGACACGAACGAGATCGCGCTTTATATCTATGCCATTTATAATGTACACACACATCAAACTGTTGAATATATATGGGAGCCACGTGTATGATTTATTGCGACGAGCTGCAACACGAGATTGTATAGAAAAAAAGAGAAGGGGGGAGGGAGATACAGCATGTGAGAGAGAGAGAGAGAGAGAGAGGGGGGGGGAAGGAAAAAATACGCGCGCGCGATAGGGTCCGTGGCGAACAGAAGAATGAATCGATAAGCTTTTATGCGCTGCGATTATATATATATATATATATATGTATTTTTTTTTAATACTTTTTCCCTTTTTTATGAAACGCGACTGATCTCTGACCAGAATCAGTGAGCGGCAATAACCTCACGGCAATTTAAACCTCACCGTAACGCGCGCGCGCGCGCGTGTAAGGATTTCAAGCGGAGGCTCGGTGAATAAAAAGAAAAAAGAGAAGGAAGATGAATTAAGAGCAAGCGCGTGCCAAGTCGTACTTGGCGGTGGTGTGAGTTGGACGAGGTCTTTCAGCGCTTAAAGGGCTGAACGCGTAAAGTGGAGATGTCGATTTACTTGGCTTATCTTTAATCCGGGAAATATACGGGGGGAAGCGGACAATAAAAGATATGACTAACAAACGAAATGGGTGGTAATAATAAACGAAATGCAAATTTGGAGAACAGCGACGCATATCGACGGGACAATAACTCGTGGCGAAGACGTAATGTGGCGCGGGGGGGGAGGGGGGTTCTTTGGCACGATAAGATGCTGAACAAATTCAATAGAAGAACAATGAATTCATATTTTCCTTGGTTTACATTCATCCGGTGGCTGTATACGTTTACGCTGTTCGGAGATTTCAAAGTCTTGACTTGGATAGACAAAGCGAGAAATTATTGAAGTCAACTAGATTTGCGTCCATAAATTCGTAATCGGCGAACGGCGGATAGTTTTCTCCGACGAGAAGGGATAGTTTGTCGACGAAAAATGGAACACATGCATGCACGCGAATCGCGATGATAAAGGTCGCCCGTCTGTGCTTTACATTGGCTCTCGGATACTCGGCAAATTTTCTTCTTCATCTCGCATTATTTAGAGGGGAGCATCCCCCTTTTTAATCAGCCTGCGTGGCGATTGTTGAAGGATCGTTGCGTAACCCACGTTGTACTCAACCCCATCGGGGTAACTCAACGAACTCAGTTTTAATTCCTAAATTTGTGCCGTGAGCAATTGCAACTATTTGTAAAGATGAACACTTTGGATAACTTTTATCCTTTCTTACAGTGAGAAAAATTTATTATGTGCGTAATTGCGTAGTGAAGGAATTACAGTCGGACCGATCATCGGAATAATTTTTGTAGCAATCGCTATCACTACTTTCTTGTTGAAAAAGGAATAGCTGATGCCGAGAATGACTATCATTTTAACGAGATTGGCCATTCTTCCCTTTCAGTGTGGAAGTTTTCCCAAGAGCACAAGAAGGGAGAAAATGTACTCTCGTTCCTCTGTTTAACAAAAGAAATTAATCTTCTAATTGAATTCATACTACGATACCGAGGGTATACCGAGGGTTAAGAGGATCAGACGGGCGAGGTTCGGTCGTCGTCGTCGATGACGACGACGACGACGACGACGAAGAGCTAATCACCGCGGTACGATTCGATGTCGCGATGATGCGAAGGCCGCAGGTTGAACGATACTGACATCGCACTTGTAGCGTATCGCGATCCTCCTCAATCCGATCGAGATGCACGCGTGACTCGGTGAAGGCTTGGCACGTGCGTTTCACTGCACAAGTACGGCACGGTACGGCGCAACTTGGGAGTAGCGAGCGGGCAAAATGTAACTGTAAGACCTCTCACCATGGAACGCCACTTTATAATTCATCTCCCACTCTGGCTGTCGTATTCCGCGGCGGAGGAGGCACCCGCCCGTAGATCACGCTGATGGATCCGGACGTTGGTTAATTTTCCTTTTTCTCTCTCTCTCTCTCTCTCTTTCTTATTTTTTCTTTTTTCGTTTTTCCCGTCGATGATTCTGTCGCGAGTTAATCTCCACGTCGTTCCTCACGCGCAAGAGGAATGCGCCGTGTAATCGTCGTCCTAAAGAGCGATGGAAGCCGCGAAACTCTACGCGCTCCGCCACGTAGATCTTGACGCGCGGTCACTTCGAGGAAGTTTCTCGATTTACAGCGTCGTGCACGACGGCGTAATTAATCGACCGATCGATCGCGCGCGCGCGCGCGCTCGTGAAATTTTGTACAGAACTCCGTGAGACGCGCAACGCGACGTGTCGGGGCTTTTACGCGGGAGACGGGCGCGTGAATCACGAGTGGAATAGGATGTGTAAATGATGCATGCAGGAATTTACGCAAAGGACCACGCGCGGAGGGTGTCGATCGGCCACTCGCCGCAGTAACTCGTTCCTCGCACAATCGGCACTGTCGCATTGGACTATTTTGTACGTATTTGCATTCAGTCGCCAAGTCGAATCGCTATCTCAGAAAACGCACGACATCGCGCGCGGATTTGATGGGACTAATTCTTCGCGCCGGCAATCATTAACGTATTGCACACGAAACGGCTGGCTCACGAAAGGTTGATAGGTAAAGTATGTAGGTAGATAATTCTCCAACATCGTTGCAAAATAATTAGCTTGCACAACCGCCTAAACGGTCGCGAACGATTCAAGCGTCGCGCGTAGCTACCACGATTTATGCTCCAACGACGATAATACGCTCGCGCTCGCATCGATACGTCCGCTCGTGAAATACATATCGCGACCTTTATACGATCGGGCCGGCCATTACACGTTGCAAACGACAAACGCGTCATTTAAATGTATCGCGTTCGCTCGCGCGACTACTGCGCTGCGCCGAGCGTGAAGCGTTCGGTGTCAGCAAAACGCCGAGCAACTATTTCTTCGCACACGCGATTGCAGCATTAACCGCCGTTACACGTGCGAACGAGACGTATCCTGCGACACGCACGCACGCACGCACGCACGCACGCGCGCGCGCGCGCGCACGTATACACGTATGCGCGCGTGTTCCGCGATAAATCACTCTTCCGGACTATCCGTGCAATTAGCAATCCAATCAATTTGCAAATGGCTCGACGTGAGAATGATGATATATTTGTATGTATTAACAGAATCGCACTCTTGCATCTCGCGCGGGGAAAGAGACCTCGTTATTATTATATTATCGCGAGCTTCGAAACACGCGCGGAACGCGAGTGATTGCGTGCCGAAGCGTGCGACTGATCGGCGGCAGCCGCGAATGTTTCCGCTCAGCGTGGTGGTAAGTCGCTTCTCACGTTGGTGAGAATTTGCATCCTGACGGTACTCCTGAAGTACCGCCCTATATAAACGTTCAAACATTTGTGAACTTTTTTCTTCTATGTTTTCAACTACATTCCTGTCTTGGTATTTACCAAGTGCCACCTTAAAATTTAATCATTAAATCGTTATATTCCGCCTCCTGCGGAGAGTACCGCCCTATAAAAAACGCTCAAATATTTCTGAACTTTTTTTTCTGTGTTTTAAACTACATTCCCGTCGGTATTTACCGGTAATTACCACCTTAAAATTTAATCATTAAATCGTTATATTCCGCCTCCTGCGGAATCGCGATCGTTGTCGCGGCGGCGCTGTCTTCGGATCTTCGAAGACGGCGCTCGATCCGATAACGCGCGCGTTATAGGATTATTTTCGAGCCGCCGTGCGCGAGACTGCGCATGCCTGCGTATACCTCTCGCGCGTATACCAACGAATCGTCTGTTTGCGAAGTGTCTGCTCGCTGTATCATAAACAAATGTTCACACGGCCGACATTTGTCGGCAAATAAATTCCGTGCGCTCGCGCTCTCGCCGCCAGCATAAACATTTCGGCTGGATGGATGTTTTGCCAATGATTGACGTCACCGTCGAAACACCGGCCGACGCTAAGGACACGCTCCGAAAAAGTGAATCGACGTCGCGCGACACGCGATTAACCGCGATTAACGTGAGCTCGATCTTTGTGAACGGCTCCGCCGTGTATGCGTGCGCGCGCGCCTACACACACACACACACACACTTAGTTCTGTCGAGCGAGGCTGAGTATGCGCTCTGCGCCGTATTTTACTTTTAATATTATCGCCGAGAGAGAGAGAGAGAGAGAGAGAGAGAGAGAGAGAGAGAGAGAGAGAGAGAGAGAGAGAGAGAGAGAGAGAGAGAGAGAGAGATCCGCATGCGGATGACGTGGCAATTCGCACGCGAATGCGTTATCTTGATGCACTATATTAGTCGCATAGTCAATTAGGCATTCGCGCGATGACGATTCACGAGTATCAGACTTGCCTCGCGAGTCTGAACGGCGGACGGCCGAGCTAATCGTCGCTTGACAACAGAAGCGGATTTCGCGCATGATTTCACGACGCTTCCCCGCTTCCTTCCCCTCACCGCCCTCTCTCTCTCTCTCTCTCTCTCTCTCTCTCTCTCTCTCTCTCTTCGTCGGCGAGCAATCGGGCGCGCACGTAGATCGGTGGAATCGCGGATAATGCGCGATGTCTGCGATACGCCGTGCATTGGCTCGGTACGCCGGTATTAATTTGGCGAGAACAGTCGGATCCTTCGCGAGCGGATTATTAGCGCGCCAACGGTGCGCGAAAAGTCGCGCCGCTGACGTGCGATACTGTTACCGCTCCTTCCCCTCCCCCTCCCCCCATATCTCTCCGCCCACAGTCGATGGCGAGATAATAATATATAATTGGGAGAGTAGCGCATAACGAGCGAGCGGCGCTCTTTCGTTCGTTCGCGTCGGCGGAATAACGCCGGACTCCGGTGCTCGGCCATTACCGAAATTACCGTCGCCGATTCGATTACGCGCGATTATGATTGCGTCGTCGCGGACGGGCGAGTAGGTGCGTGCGCGCGGCTGCAGGTGCGTTCGTTCGATGCGACCGTCGAGATCAAAGGCGCGGATCCGCGATGGTGACTCGCGATTCTACCTCCTCCTCCCCCCCCCCTAACGCCCCCTCTCTCTCGTTCTCTAATGCGAGATCAGGCGGAATTTTTACGTGACGTCGGCTCGTCGAGAAACATACATCACGCAGCAGCGATACGGCGATATTGGTTTTTCTTTTTTTTCTTTTTCCATGAAAAGAGAGACGGAAAAAAGAGAAGATTCCAGATAATCGCGGCGCGCGATGGATCGCGCATCGCGGAATTCGTAATCGTTGTCCGAGCATTGGGATTAGAAGAAAGAGCGCGCGGAGCGCTCGGGGAGAACGGAGAAGGGAGCGTCGAAATCGATTATCAGCGTCTCTGGTTTCTCTTTGTAGCTGGGCAAAGTGAATTTTTCGGTAATTGGCTTAATGGGATCGTAGAAACGTCGATCCACCTGTTCGCAGTCGGCGGCAAAACGGTTGCGACACGTTTCGTCGTTGGGGGGAGGGGGAAGGGAGAGAATGTCTGGTATCCGTGGCCGTAATTGCACGGTGAGAGATGATTACAGTCGGGAAAGTCATTCTTGCATAGCAAGTGCTGCTATAACGTCAATAACGATAGCCTCATGTGCGTAGCGTCATTTGATCATTAGAGCAACGGAAAGGCGGAATAGGCGTTGAAAATGACCGTCACTTTAGTCAGCATTGGCTGTTTCTTTCTCCCTCGTCGTGTTTCCGACGGACTTTAAGTTGATTCAAACGCGAACCGCTGGGACGAGATCGAGCATCGAATTTTCTGAGACCCGTCGAACCGACGAGAGCACGTTTTGCTCATCATCGGCTGCTTCGCACGCGCCGCAAAGTTGCGCCGCAATAGCGAGATCGCGGAACTATCGTTCCGCGGACGCGTTGCGCAAGCAAACCTTGGAGCGTCCCGGTCGGAGGGGAAATGTATTAATAACAGTCAGTTAAGAATCATTAGGACCGGCTGGCCACTTACAGGTGCCGCAATTACACGTGTAATCGAGCCGCGGGCTCGGGCGAGATCGACCGTTGGCCGCTCCACACAGCGACGCGCGAAATCGCTTCGGGAAATCGCGTGCTCGCGAAATTGGAGTCTCGATTGTTATTCACCGCGGATAATCGGCGTCGTGGGGGCAGGGGGAAAAATCACGCGACCGCCGGAGACGTTGGAACAAGCGAGTTCCGCGAGTTCTTTTTCCGAGCGGGTTCCGTGTCGCTGAGCGCGAGCAGCGCGAGCGCCGCTCGCTGATCGCGAAATCGGCGACGCGCGCGCGCGCGCGGCGCTTCGTCGGGCCGGCCGCGTCGCGTTGCTCGCGTAAAAAAGCGACAACGGCAACCGGGGCGAACCTTGAAGCGTTGTTTTACGCGCTCCTTGCGGCGGATCCCGCATTGTTCGAGCGCTCGCGCGCGGTCGCTCGCGCGAAAATCATATTTCGCGGGGAAACTCGCTACGTTGACGAACAATGGGACTTCCGGACTTTTTTTCCGGTTTGTCGCGACCACGCCGCGCCGCGTCGGGGAGCGACGCGACGCGACGCGATGCGTTGCGCGACGAGGCCCCTCCCTCCCGCCCTCCTCTCAATAAATTTCAGAGCCCGCACACCAACAATCGCGCGTGCCGGTGAACTCTCGCAGCGCGTGTTAGAGAGCACACACACATGTATAATATCGCACTCGCCGTGCGCGACGCCGTCGAGTCGTGCGAGTGGGAGAAGAATAAACAGGACCCCGGCTTTCATTAACGTCGCCGTAACGCGTTAAGTAGAACGGAGTTCCTCGTGTCGCTCCCGGCGCTCCCACGTGTGCGTGCGCGCGTGTGTATGTGTGTGTTTGTGTTTGAATAAGTCCGCGGCTCGCGCGGTACGATAAAATATATGGAATTTCAAGGATCCCGTGAAAGTTCATCGCACACACTCGTCATCCGAGGCGCGCATTCACGATCTTGTCCTTCGGTCGGGCTCGTTTGCGAATAGCGAAAGGATAATGACCATCCGGTGACTCGCGTTCCATTTTCCGGCTACTTCCCCTTTCCGAAAGATGTGAGGATTATCGTTCGTGAGATCCCTGACGAATCCTCTTGGCGGAACATCTACGAGTCTCTCTCTCTCTCTCTCTCTCTCTCTCTCTCTCTCTCTCTCTCTCTCTCTCTCTCTCTCTCTCTCTCTCTCTCGCTTGCTATTCCGCAACTCAAATTAACGCGTGTTTATTCTTGCAAAACGGAATAATACGCGCTGACCTGTCACCTCAGGGGGAAAAATATTATTGAGTCAGCTAAGAAGCGCGCTCTAATTCTCAATGTCTCTGCCTTGTCGGCGGAATTCGGTGATGGATGCAGCCGCTTCCTGCGGCAAAAATAGATGTATATCGCCGGAATGTTGACGGAGGATCGCAGACAATGAGAGCGGTTACTTGATCGTGATGAATAATTTTTGTGTTTTCATTCAGTGTTAACCTCGGATGAAATTTGACGGAAACGTCGGATGGAATTTCCCGACTGACCTAATAATTCCTAACGGCGAGATTGCTTCGTTGGGAAAAATTTGCGCTGCAAATCTTTTTTAGTTTATGGCCCTTACAAGTAAACCTCGGGGAACATCAGACGCCGATTTGTTTCCAATTTTTTATAGTTATTTTTAATGTCAAAATATAAAGAAATCTGTTATCATTTTTAGCTTAAATTAATTTTTTCAATTTTTTCGAAATTTCTCAAGTTTTTGTTCATTTCTTGTTCATTTTTTACCAGATTTTGACGTTAAAATGAGCTTGTTTGCTGGATAGTGAGCCAAAAGATAACCCAACGTCGAATGCAGCGTAAAACTGAACA